GCTACATACTTTACATAGTAATAATTTATATTGTTCTGCTGCTGGCCTTCCCTTACTTCCTAAAATTATGCGACAAGAACTGCTACAGTGCGAAGTGGTGGACTTCACCTTTAACATCATGATTTTGAAATATGTTTATCTACGCAGATAAAGTTTACTAGATGGTTCCATTTTACGCTGAGCAAATGGTTTATCAGCACATCAAATTGGAATAAGAAAAGCAATCCGACATAGGTACTTTGGTCTTTTTAGGACACTAGTAAAAATGTAAAAAATATGGACCGGTAATATAGTCATCACCACTTGACTTCTAAAACAACGTGAATAATTGTAGTCCTATTTTTATTTTTCGATATAATAATAAAAATCACCGTGCAGTGACAGATTAAGAATATCCAATACATACTGTTGCACGCCTAAGTTGACGTCAGGTACCTAGCACTAGCGCCATCTAGTGTCGGGGACCAGAGCGAGGAGGCTTCCTAGAAAATGTCAATCTTGATCTTTTGATCAACAACACAACTTTCTGCGTCTGGTCGTTTGGCGTCCGTATTTACCGGAATATTCTGAATGTCTCGGTGTAAAAGGTGTATTTAAAGCCGCCGCAACCCGCTATCGGGGCAGTATTGAATTTGGCGAGACAAGCGAAGCTTCGGAGCGAAATAAAGTGAATCAGTGTGATTAATTATTAGAGTCTTTTAAGTTTTAATTGCTGTTTTGTAATAAAAGTGTACATTTTGGTAATTCAACTGGCAGTTTTTATTGTCACGAACCTCAAGCTAGTAACAATTGGTGTCAGAAGTGGGATAAAATCATGCCGATTTTACCTAAGGAGGAAACGGAGGGTGTCCGTTCCGTACCCGAAGTCAACGCCAGCAGGAGACGGATCAAAGAAGATTTGGTGGTGCAACGCCACAGACGTCGGAGAGCCAGCCACCGGCTGCAGGCCCGTCAGTAGCTCCTACATCTGCAGCACCTGACTTAGGTGCTCTGACGTTGATGCTGCAAGTTGTGCCTGAATGCTGCAGGTTCGCTGACAGGAGGAGCAGGCTCGCCGACAGGAGGAACAGGTCCGTCAGTTGGAAGAGCAGCTGCGGGCGGACAGAATGAACAGGCACGTCCACAGGAGGAACAGGCCCGCCAACAGGAGGAACAGGCCCGCCGACAGGAGGAATAGGCCCACCGACAGGAGGAACAGGTTCCTCGGTTGGAAGAGCAACTGCAGCGCGGATGGGAGGAACAGGCCCGTCGGTTGGAAGAGCGGATGCTCCTCATGGAGGACCTTCACGTTACCTTTGGGAAAGAGATAAGGGAGGTGAAGGATATGGTTGCTCAACATGACAACCGCCTGTCGGAAGCTGAAACCCAAATCGAGGAAGCTAAAACACTAATCGACCAAGTAAATAATTGGGTTAATAACGTGATGGCTGACGTGAAGAAAACGCTGGACGACCTCAAACTTCCTGGTCAGCCTACAAAATCCAGTTCGAGGCTGTTATGAAGGCGAACGGCAGGAATAAATGTCAGGCCATGACTGCTCTCACTCTAGGCCTGCGCGACCAGGCCTTAACAGTTCTGGAAGCTCTCGGTGAGGAAGTGACTTATGAGCAGCTCCTTGAGGCATTGGAGGCGAGATATGGCGACGCTCACCTGGAACACGTCTTTCGTGCGCAGCTCAAAGATCGCGTGCAGCGCATCAACGTAAACTTGCAGCAGTGGGCTCTAGAGGTGGAGAAGCTGGTGCGAAAAGCATACCCGTCTGTACCTGTGCTCATTGAAGGGAATCTGGTGCAGACATTCGTCGACGGCATCCGCGACCTTGAAGTCAGAGCTGTTGTGAGGCTCGGGCACCACGAGACGCTTAAGGATACCTTGGCCCATGCACTGGAGGTGGAAGCCGTGCGGCAGGATCATCGTTCCCAAGGCGTCAGGGAGGTTGCAACAGCTACAGTTCGCGAACGCAATAAAGGATACAGCCCTAGGTGCTATGGTTTTGGGGAAAAGGGCCATCTTCGATCCAGCTGCCCTAAGCGAACCCTGTAAAAGGAAGGTGAACGATCTCAGGAGGGCAGTGCGGCCAACAACACCACCCAGCAGCAGCGGGGAAACTGGCGGGTGCTGGCTGATGTTAAAAGAGCCCCAAGGATCTCGATCTCACAAACCCATGATGGTAATAGTCTAACCATCAAGGGCGAGGTCAACGGAATGCCGTGTAAACTGACCGTAGACATTGGAGCCTCTCGTACGGTTGTTAGTTCCTAACTTATAAGTCAGTTCCTTGGTGACTTCTCATACAACCGAGAACGCATTAATTTGGTAACATCCACCGGTCAGCGTATACCCGTCCGTGGAGAGGAGATGGAGTTGAAGCTAAAGCTTCCAGTTAAAGCTCCCAAGCCCAAGTGGAGCGACGTCTCAGCGATGACTTCGACCACTAAAAGCTATTGGGCCCAGTGGGACAGCTTGCTGTTTCAGGATGGAGTTCTGTGCCGTAAATGGGAAAATGTTTGGGGAGACAGCTGTCATTTGCAAATGGTTGTCCCTAAAGCTAAAGTACCGGATATTCTACAGCTGTACCATAATGATTGTTCAGGAGGCCATTTGGGAGTTAAATGAACTCTACTGAAGATCCGAGAACGGTTTTACTGGGTCCACTGTCGAAACGATGTCGAGTACTGGTGTCGCAAATGTACAAGTTGTGCGGCTGTAAAGGGTTCTTAGACTCGTTGTAGAGGTGCATTGAAGTTGTACAATATTGGTGCACCATAGGAGAGAATAGCCATTGACGTGGCGGGGCCGTTTCCGGAGAGTGAAAGCGGTAACAAGTATTTCATGGTTGTGATGGTTTACTTCACTAAGTGGCCAGAAGTCTTCGCCATTCCAAATCAAGAAGCTTCAACAGTTACAGATAAACTAGTTCATGAAGTCTTCTGTCGTTTTGGAGTACCTTTAGAGATTCACAGCGATCAAGGAAGGAATTTTGAGTCTCAAATATTCCAGGAAACTTGCCGAGTTATGGGTACTCATAAAACAAGAACGACTTCTTATCACACGCAATCTGATGGAATGGTAGAATGATTTAATCGAACATTGGAGAGGTACCTAGCAAAAGTTGTAGACAATCAGCAACGAGATTGGGACAAGCACATACAACCGTTTTTGTTGTCATATCGAAGCGCTGTTCACGAAAGTACAGCAGTGACACCAGCTTTCATTAGTGACTGCCTGCAGACCTGATCACCGGGATACCACCTGATCCCCCACGCAGTATAACCGATTATGCAAATGACTTGCGGAACAAAATGAATGAGATTTATGAGGACGTCAGAAAATCGGGCCAGCGAATGTCCGAAAAGATGAAAACCCGGTATGACCGCAAAATGAACAACAAAGGGTTCGACGAAGGTTCACTAGTGTGGTTGTACAATCCAGTCCGCAGCAAAGGGAAATCTCCCAAGCTTCAAGCTAAATGGGACGGCCCGTACCGGATTGTGACCAGGATCAACGATTTAACCTACCGGATACAGAAAGGCGCAAGAGGGACTCCTAAGATCGTCCGTGTAGATCGCCTGGCGCGTTATTGTGGGGCCGATAATGCTCGGGACGAGCATGCCTTACGAGGGGGCAGTGTTGCGCGCCTAAGATGACGTCAGGTACCTGGCACTAGCGCCATCTAGTGTCGGGGACCAGAGCGAGAAGGGCTTCCTAGAAAATGTCAATCTTGATCTTTCGACCAACAGCGCCATCTAGGATCGAACAGAAGAATTAAGCTTTCTAGAAGCCCCACATTCGAACTTTCTGCGTCTGGTCGTTCGGCGCCCGTATTTACGGGAATATTCTGGATGTTTCGGTGTAAAAGGTGTATTTAAAGCCGCCGCAACCCGCTATCGGGGCAGTATTGAATTTGGCGAGACAAGCGAAGCTTCGGAGCGAAATAAAGTGAATCAGTGGATTAATTATTAGTGTCTTTTAAGTTTTAATTGGTGTTCGGTAATAAAAGTGTAAATTTTGGTAATTCAATCGGCAGTCACGAACCTCAAGCTCGTAACAATACCCTATTAAGTCCAATATGTGTCGTAAGAGGCGACAGAGGGAAAAATCACAAATCCACTGCTGAATAGAGGCCTAAACCATAGACTAGTGCTCAGTAGTTCTAAAATCCAAAATAATTTTATTTAGTAAATATAACCTCGAAAAAGTCGTCTATCCCACTGATATATTTCGGCGCGTTCTTTAAAATTTACCCCGTAGCTATAGTGGCGCCACCCTTATTTAACGATTATCTACGGACACTTTTTAATACAGTCTGTACTCCTTACGTCTCCTTACACTCCATACCTAATATAGTGGGCTTTTGTTAGTTGACTTACAACATAGACTTAGACTTACAACGTGAATGGAAATGAAATAGGGCGATCCTATCTCTTCGTTTACAAAACTAAATGGTGTAAATTAAACACAGATGTAATAAAATTATATATTTCTTAACTTTTTACTGAGCAAAGAATGAACTCCTTTATCTACAACAGTTTTACACAATTTATTTCTAACATTCGTGATTATTGAATAGGCTTTTAGCTATTAATCTAAGTTTTTTGAGCAACGACATGAATTGTGTTTATCAGTCCTTAAAGTTTCATTCAAGTACATTTTGTAGCATGCATTCGCCGTACATAGTATACTTACCGGAACGAATTTTCAAAAGGAACTAAACCCTTGAAAATGATTTGTAAGAATTAGATTAACAAACTTTGTATAATGCCTTCAACTGTAAAAACTGTGAGGGTGTTTTTCTAAAATGATTGCTTAAAAATAACAAGTCCTACCTACATATAATTACATAAATACAAAAATAACAAGTTCTACCTACATATAATTACATAAATATAAAAACTGGCTGTATGATAATTGTTCGTATTTAATGAATATTTTTTTCTGTACAATAAAATAGTAACAAAAAATATCACTATATGACGCCTAACAACAGTTAAAATATTACATTACAATGAATCTGAAAGCATACGAATCTGTTCTTTAACGTGATTATCCATATCTACAAAATCCCTTAAAACATCTTCGATCATTTCTACAAATATTGTTGGCCACTGGAGTTCAAGAATGCGAAGGCGTTGGGCCGCTCCACAAGCTAGCTCGATGGCATGAGATAACTGACCACGACCGCGAACACGCCAGCTCATATCTTCCTAGAAATATAAATTATAGGAATCAAACTACTATACTAAGTACTAGTTCCATGCCTTAATCTCATATTTTGTATTGATTTAAAATTAGTATTGTAAGTACTACTGTTGCAAAATTAAATAGACAAGGGATTGCAGAGTGAGGCAACCTGTTATATTTTATCTCTTTCTGAACAAATGCAACCAATTTCAAACAAAGGTTACCACCTACAAATGCGTTACCTTTGAGTCAAAAGTGATAACATCTGTAGGCTTTGAGGAGCAAAATGAAATACTTCGCAGCCTGTAAGATTTCAAGCAGGTGGTAGCACCCAGCTTCTTTATTGAAATTAAGATGTTTTTTAATTTCAATTAAATTTGCGACAGTTTGTGGTCTACAGAATAGAATATTTTTTGCAATATAGATTATATGTAATTCTTATTGAGTCATTTTCTAATTTAACACTGGTTCGGAAAAATATCTGTTCTGGGAAGAACCAGCAAGAAGCCCAGGGGGAATTAAAAAAAGTTAATTATACAATATGAAAAATTGTACATGTACCAAACTAATTACAACATTTATTTTAGAAACAGCTTAATAGAGGCCACCTCATACCCAGGGGTTTTTATCACCCATGTATTCTATGTTCTATACTAACCCTTTTTATAGTTTTTGTTTAATAAAATATTTAAACTTGATTATAGAGAGATCTTGTATATTTTCTCCGCCCAGAAGAAGTGAAATTGCTCAGAGCTAAGCAACTCGTTCTATTCATTGAAGGCATAGGGCTTAGCAGTAAACTATAGCCGTAGCAGCGATCACAATAAGTCTTTTAGGTCGCAGTGATACTGGTCTCTTTCCCTAGACCAGCATAGCTGCTCGCACATAATAAAAAATAACCCTTTTTATAGTTTTTGCTTAATAAATATTTAAACTTGATTATAGAGAGACCCTGTATATTTTCTAGGACTTTGTTGTAATGGCGTATAGATAACACAATAATAAATTGGCTGGACGTGGAGCTTACGTGGACGAGGTTAACCATGGCCCCCTGGGTAAAAGTACCGGCGCTCACAGTACGAGACGTCAAACATCATCAAGAACGGAGAGCACCACTACCGTTCTTGTTTAGCTGGTGCTAATAATCAAAAACATTTAGAACTAATTTACAACAAACTTTCTTTCAATGATATAAAGTGTCTACAAACCTGGGATACCTGTCCCTTTTTGAATTGGAGAGCCTCTTTTGCAATTACATCTCTCAAAGCTGGGTCAGCTGCCCTCAGCCAAGCCTTAGCACTAGTACCACTGTTTCCACTTCTACCTAGTCGCGACAAGAGAGGCTGCAGCGGTGCGTCCGGTAGAGCTCGTAACACTATATCGCTTAACCCATCGTAAGTTTTATTTGCTGATTTTATTTCCTCCTCCGTCACCTGACATAGCATAATTTGATATAAAAAGTAAAGCAACATATACAAAATTACTACATAATTTATACACTTAATCGTAGTGATTATATACTCTTTGGCCCACACTTGAAGACGAGTGCCCATCCGAAGATAATATGCAACAGGATTTGGATATTAAAAGAACGTGAGGATTAAATCAGCACAACATAATATGACACAATTTGACACCCAATGTTTTTCTTTTGATTTTAGTAAGAGTAGTGAGGCGATATATATTTTACAAAGTTTTGTGTACATAATCGATAAAACAAGAACCCAAATAATTATTATAAATAAATTATTTACCTGCTCATCATTAATTTCCTTCAAACCCCAGTGAGTAAGTCTATAAATAGTGTACTCCCGCCAAATCTTTTCACATATTGGATTGCCTTCAGGCAATATTGTTAAACTGGTAATTCCACGCAATTCAGCTAATGCGTGCAGTTGACCAAGATACTGTAGACCCGTAGCTCGAACAGATATATGCATAATATTCGGAAATCTGAAGAAAAAAGAATATTAATATAGCTTTACTTACTGCTGGAGCCAGCTCAGCAGGTAGCTCAGTTGGTTAGCGCTCGCTGTAAATTTCACAGTACGCGAGCAATCCGAGCTTGATCCCCACCGGCATCAATGAAACTGTTACTTGCAATTTTATGTGCTGATTCAACTACGTGCTCGGCGGTGAAGGAAAACAACTTGCAAGTCTGAGGGAGACAAAAAAGGTATTTCGAAGTCATGTGAAGACTGCTAACACGTATTGAGACAGCGCGGCGGTCACTTCCTTGCTCTAAAACCCTCTCAGAAGTGAGAGGAGGCCTGTGCCCAGCAGTGGGACGTATATAGGATGTAACTTTAATTTACTGCTGTATCACACAGCTATCACAGCAACCAACGATAAAGGGATGCTTTTTGGCTATACCTATTGTATTACGAGACTGCTTTATTGGTCTAGTACGTAGTAACGAGAGCGCGACCGCTGATCTTTTGATCGTGGGTTAAAATCCCGGTTCAAGCGAAAATCAGTTTTTGGGTTTTTATGTCAAGAAATTGTCAGTAGCAGTAGGAAAAAGGCGTCGTTTCGCCCCGTATCTCGGTATGCACGTAAAGTTGTTGGTCCTGCATCTAATCACTCTCCGGTCGTGCCTGATTGGCGTCCCATCGGACTACAAAAGTGAGGGAATGGAGAGTGCACCTGTCCTTGCGCACACACTCGTGTACTATAATATAATCCTGTCTTGCACAGATGGTTAGTCTTCTTCGAGACTGGTCGCCGTGACCGAAATTTGGTCTTGAGGATATTATTACATTACTATAGCTATCAACCAGAAAATTCGTTTCGCATTGCGTTGTAGTGTATATACTTAAACTAAAAATATCGGAATTTTTCAAATCTTTATTTACTTAAATTGTTGTAATTTTTTTGCTGTGACCGTATTTTATTTTATTTTTTCTTAAAATGGTGGAGAAGACGATATCATAAAAATTAAGATTTAGTGAGTCTTTCATACTTTTATAAAGTGCTAATAGTATATAATATTATGACGATAGTTCTGTAGAAATTTAATAACCTACGTAAACTTTAACACGTACTGTGAATCTGTTGCTAAATAGTCACTAAACTTTCTTTTAGTAAAGGTAAATTCGCGTTATAGCTTGCGAGACGATAGATGTGTTATTTTTATATGTATTATTATCGATGATATTGTGTAGATAATTAGTAAGCCGAAAGAAAATTGGAATATTGAAATAAAAAATTATATAATAATCCTGTCAGTTGGGTTATTACTTATAAAATGTTCTCAAAGAGTATGTAGTTAATTGAACGACTCAATATAAGTATTTGGAGATATAAAATAATTACAAACATAAAATATTTATTTCTACTTTTAAAATAATATACTTCTGCTGCTATTGCTTACCATTTAGTATCGGTGTAAGAATACGACAGAGGGAAACCAATCAGGAGATGAGCAGCAGTGTCTTCCAAACAACGACTAAAAAAACTACGCTAGCTATATACTACTGCGCTAGTATAGCTATGGCAAATATCTCCCCTATGAGACAATCTATGGGGGAGGCCTATGTTCTGCAATGGACTTTAATATGCTGTAAGAGTAACGGATCCTTTTGGTACTATCCGTCTGGTGGTAAGTGTGTATGTAGATAATATTTATCAAATACTTTTAGCATTTATCTAAATGGATGAAATGGAATATGAAATAATAATAATAATAATAATAATATATTCCACAACTATCACACAACGCCATCTAGTCCCAAGCTAAGCAGAGCTTGTGTTATGGGTACTAGACAACTGATAAACATACTTATATATTTCTAAATACATAAATATTATAGATAAATTACACCCAGACACAGAACAAATGATCGTGCTCGTCACACAAACATTTGTCCTTGGTGGGAATCAAACCCACGACCTCCGGCATAGCAGTCAGGGTCACTAACCACTAGACAAACAGGCCTGTCTTACTGAAATATGCAAATGAAACAATCATTTGCATATTTCAGTAAGTTTGGTCTCTACTCTGCTAATGTTTTATCACCTAATTGGTTTAATAAGATTAAAATATAATTCGACAAACACATCAAAAAAATTTTTACGTAGTATTTTTTAAGTAGTAGTTGTAACACAAATGGGTCGGGTCGACCGGGGTATGACCACGCTCTCACAGAATACCAGCGTAAAATAGCAGCTAAACGCTGCTGTGTTTCGTATGATGAGTGTAGAGAACCGGAGACCAGTTTTACTGGAAAAGAGGCATTCCATCTTAGTCCTTTCGGGTGACAACGCATCTGCATTTTGATTCGTAATCGAGGATAAATGTAGGAGTCTATGGGCCGCAACAACCATTTACCATCAGGTGGGCTATGTGCTCGTTTGTCACCCTTATCCTATAAAAAATATATAAATGCCTCAATACAACCGGGCAGGCCTTTTTTTCTGCCTAGGATTACGTATGGATAGATACAGCCTATTAGTGTCGGCAAGCAGCAGTTCGTGCATTGTTGCTTCGGTTTGTAGGGAATAGAGGATATGTTTACAGGCTCTGAAGCATTCTATCTTAGTCGTCAGAGGTGAGAACGCTTTTGTAGCTTTGTTTGAAGTTAGTTAAATATTTTAAATAGCCAATGTCATATTAAAAAAAAACTAGCTGGCCTGACAGACGATGTTTTACTCTTTACGACGACCCTTTATCCTATGAAAATCTTATCTATCCTATTTTTTAAGTTTGAAGCACGCAATACATATTTAAAATCGGTTGAGCAGTTTCGGAAATTAGCGTGAACGAACTTCATGACACGGGATTTTTATATAAGTATAAAGTTAAAGAATAAAAATATTTTACTTGGTTTTTAACTCCGATAAAGATTGAGCGACTGCATTAAAATGTACATAATGAAATGCTGCTCGGGTAACAGTACGCGCTCGTTCCCAGTCCCAGTCCCTTGCCAGGCGACGCACTGCACCCGTTCCCCAGGCACTCACTGTACCATCGCATACTTCTACTAGGTAATCGACTCCTGGGAAAAGATATGTATGATCAGTACATAAATTATAATATCCATAATTATAGAATTACTAAAACTCGCCACTCTAACCTTGTTCTCTATCTTTAGAAACCGGCACTGGTTTTGCAACAGGTTCCGACGATTTCAAGCTAGCTAAACTTTTTCCCGATTTAGCTCTGGCTGTAGAAGCTCGATGTGCGGATGAGGCTCTTTCACTTCGTCGAGATATTGTAGCACTTCTTACATTCCTGTTACTTATCCTACTATTAAGAGAACCTTCTCGACGCAAAGTCTTATTACTGTGATCACTACCTGACGTTGAAGAAGTGGCAACAGAACCTACATTGGTACTACAAGATATATTACTGACGTTCTCACTGTAATCGGAGTTTTTATTGGCTTTAACTTTTCGACTTTCGGGATCGCACACAGATTTGGAACGGAAAGTGCTGAATTTTTCCCTGTTTCTTAATACTGTTGGCATCCTTTTAAGCGGCTTTTTATTTGTTTCGTCTTCGCTATCACTACTCGAAGAAGGAAATGAACTAAACGAAGAATCTATAATTGGGTCTACGCTAGAAATGCTTTCCCATCTTTTCAATGCAGATTCTGTGCCATCTGCAAGCTTAACGTTTTCTAAGGATGAAATGATTGGCAACAGTATAGGTGGTAGTCTTATGTCGCTGCTTGTTGATGTGGAATGTGAGACGTCAGTGTCTTGGGAAGCGCTTCTCTCTGAAAAATTTACTCTTTTTTCTGAAATTTTAAGACCAGTCGAGCTCCTTTGCAATTTGCGTGTCGTTGATTTGTTTTTACTCTCATCAGACACCGCTTTTGTGCTTGCATCGCTGTTATTATTTTTACAATCAGAATCTTCGGTATCTCCCTGGTGCAAAGACACTGACACATCAGTGAATGGTGCTATATCCATTGTCTGTGTGCTTCCACTCTGCGTGACAGGTGTGTCTAATACAAACTCTTTTTCTAAGTTGTCGTTTTTCATTGCACTTGCGGTTGCAAAACATTTATTTTCAGATCTGTAGATATATGGCTATGTTATGAGATATATTTAAAATAGTATTTAAAAACAATTTCATTTAAAAACTACCTTAGCAATTCCCAGTTAGTGCGTGCATTGTGAATTATCTGATCACGACGGGCAGCTTGTTGCGCTGATCCACCTAACGCGCAATACGCTGCATGAGCGGCTTCTTTGTTATTTCTCCATGCCATTGCCGCTGTGCGAACCTGAAATAAAAGGTGATGAATTACAGAGAGTATACGTAAATGTATTACTGCTACGTATAAGGTATATGTAAATGCCTCCTTTGATCTTGAGTGGGTAATAGAGTAGGAATTAGTGTGGTTGACCCTTTCTTCACTTTATGTATTCAAATATTATACACAGTATCTCACCTGTTCAGTAACATGCATGCTTGATAGAGTTACTAGATTTGGTAAATATGAAACAAGAAATGGTGTACAATCGCCTCCCAACCCTACTGGATTACCATCTAAATTAACTTCTATTAGAGAAATGGCTTCTGCAAGAGAAGATACATCTTCTACACTGAAAAAAATATGTTATTTGAATGAAATTTTATACTTCAGTTAAAAATAAACATTAAAAGTTTTTCTCGCTAATTCTTACCTCTGCAAGTCATTGTTACTGAGAAATAACTTTTGTAACTTAGTTGTATGTTGAAAGCCTAGTAATTTTCTCAACTTATTTCTTTTTAGATTCAATTCTCTCAGTGATATCATGCCTTGGAGATCGTTCGAACCTATACTTTTAATTTGATTGCCGGCCAAATTGAGCACTTTCAGCTCACCAAGATTAGATAAACCACTTACTTTAGATATTCTATTACCATGTAAATCTAACACCTCCAATTTTAGAAGATTTGCTAAGCCTTCAATTCTTTTTATCCTTTATGAAATAAAATATAACCTTAGAATAAAAATTAAAAAAAAAATGAATCGGAGATATAAATATTTTACCTGTTTTTACCCATCAGTAAAACTCTCAAATTAAAGAGTTTTTCAAGGGAAGTAATTTTATCGATCTGATTATCATATACGTCAAGGAATACAAGCTTTCCTAACTCAAGCGGAGATAATCCTGACAGACTATTTATTAAATTATGTTGTAATGATAACAGACGTAAGGTCGGTTCACCGACTATATTGGGTATGGAGGAAAGGCCTCGTCTGAAAATAAAAGAGAAATTATGATATAGGTATACGGATGGCGGAATTTTATTTAATAAGGTATTCTATGAATTGATCATTTAGTTATTGAAGACAGCCTATATACGTCCCACTTGGGCACAGGCCTGCTCTCATTTCTGAGAGGGTTTTAGAGAAGAAGGTAAGAGGTTAGAAGGAGTTAGAGGGATTTCCAGGAAGTGTCCGCTGCGCTTCCCCAATGCGTGTTGGCGAACTTAACATGTCATCAAAATATTTTTTCTTATTTCTCAGACATGTAGGTCTCCTCACGATGTTTTCCTTCACCGCCGAGCACGTGGTAAATCAAAGACGTGTAGCTCAGGTAGTTAGCGCTTGCTATAAATTTCACAATACGTGAACAACCCGATTACGATCCCCGCCGGCACCAATGAAATTGTCAATGGCAAATTTAAATACTGATTCTGTGAATATTATTTCCTAATTTATATTTATTCTAACAATAATTTTAAACACTAAATCACACTACAGGCAGTGTGACATCTACACAGCTACAGTTTTATATATTACAACAGGTGACGTAGAGCACCTGACGACATAAGGACACCAGGATCGAACGCGGCTGTTTTGCTAAAATATAAAAGCACAGCTACCTACAGCGAACTCGTATTTAATAAATTATTTGTAATTTAACTCGATTATTGATGCTTTCAAAAAGTGTTAATTACCGTATAGTAATATTTTGTGCTGTTTTACCGAGAACTTAGAACTGTAAAGAAAGATAAACTTAGTGCGCAGCGCTTTTCGATTATGCAAGGTCTGCGTCCAGTAGTGGAACTTTTATGGGCTGAAGACGTTCTTAACAAAAAGTGAAACATGGTGTCGGTGTCGTCACTTAAAATATACGTAACGTTCCGTCTATCTTTTTTTGTTGGTGTGAAACTGAGAATAAAAATTCTAAACAGAGAAAATGAAGCATATTGATTTATGACCTATTTCTAAAAAGCTAAAGTTAAACTTTTACAAGCCGCTTTGGTATAATTGTGTGGATAATTAATTATAATTTGTCATGGGAAAGTACGACTTGCTATTATAAACCTTGAGTCATAATAGCAGAAGAAATATGCTACTTGCGTGAACATCATTGCTACGTATTGATTAATCATTTTAACGCCTAATTATCTTTGAAGAAAATTGTAGAGTTCCGAAAAAACAACTTCATGTACCTACCTGTCAAGACTTATTCTATCAGGTAGACGATCCTTTTCCTGTGGAGTTCTAAAAAGTTGCACCTTTCCTTCGCCCACAGCCTGCAGATTAAGAACATCATCCTTCCCACTTTCCTTATTCATATAATCATTGCTGTAAAATAAAACGGTGGCTTTTATATTTATTTTAGTACAAACATTCACGGTCACACAACATCTCGCCAAAGTTTAATTGGAATCAGAAACGCATGGAATACGTACAAATAAACAAACAAAATTTTTAACTTCCCGCTAAAAAAAATTGAAATTGACATAAATAGGGAAGTTATTGGATTCATTCTGATTTTCGAAAATCGAGTTTTCTACAGATCTCGACGTTTTGAAATCCCAGGAAGCTATTCTGTATGTTGTACGTATGTATGTGTGTGTAAGTATGTAAATCTTTCATAACTTTTGAACGTCTTGATCTATTGAGATGCGGTTTACGGCGTTCTAAAGATCTCAATGTGGAATAGATTTGGTGATAATATGAACTGATTCGGACGAGTAGATTTTGAGAAATCTCAAAAATAAAAAAATTTAAAAACCGTTTTTTATGAATAACTTTTAAACGGTTTTTTGAAACTGATCGATTTCAACATTAATCAGCTCTTAACCTCAAAAATGACGTCGAATGCCGTCTGCAAAATAGAAATCGGTTCATTCGTTCGTGAGATATCGAAGGAGAACAACGTTTTTTAAAATAACTTCGAGATTTTGACAACCGAGTAAGTTTGCGCTTTGCATATTATTTTAAATTACTCCGTTAATTCATATTCAACGTCATAATTTGGTGAAATATGGAGCACTTTGCATTTGAAATTACCGGGAAGTTCCAGGGATGGCCTGCAGGGTCAATCAATTTTTTTTTCAGAAGCCTACGCGGGCGTGCACCTGACTCACAAACGTTTTATTGCAATTGGATTAATTGTATTGGAGCATATACGGGGCAAACAAAGAAAAATTTATTTAATAATCTAAAGATTTATGTAGAACCGTGGTAGCTCACGGGCTAAGCGTTTGCTGTAAACTTCACAGCACGCAAGTAACCCGAGTTCGATCCCCACCGGCACCAATAAAATTGTTAATTTCAATTTTAAGTGCTGATTGAAGCAAAAAATATTTCGAAGACATGTGAAATTCGGACATATCTTTGCCTGAAAAGCCTCTCAGAAACGAGAGGAGGCCTCTGCCCAGCAGTGAGACGTAGGTATATAGGCTAGAGATTTAACTTTAACTAACTTTAGATTTATGTATGTTTTAAAATTAAAGGGCAAGTTTTTAATTTTAAGTGTTCTTCTATGCAATAGTAGCTGCTAACATAAATTTTGTAGCGAACCCCTACGATCTACTGGCAAGCCCATAGTGGTTTGTGTAATTCACTTTGGGTAAACTTATACTATAATTACGTTTAACATAGTTTCGAAAGTTCTAAAAAAAATTTGCCTAAAATTGTGTACCTTACTAGTGAGGTGGTGGGGTGTTCATAGCAAGAAAGGCATCCGTGTTTTAACAAAAACATGACAGAAAAATAGAACAGAAATGTTTCTCACCCAGTTAGTATTGTACTAGATCGTTGAAGTGCTGGATGTGCAGCTCTTGGATCTGCTAACGCTGGCTTTATTTGTAAAAATAATCGACCATCTCCACCCTGTTGGGTTTCCTCTCGGGGGCCATTGTTATCAAGGGATTGAACTGATCTTCCTCTTGTACGAAAAGCTAACTTCCTTACCTAGAAAATGTTATAAACGGCATGATATTATCGACTTAAAGAACAAAAATCCTTTCGTAAATAAATTAACTTTTAATCACACATTTCCACGGCTGACAGGCATTAGTTTCAAATAATTTTTAACAACTATATCACAAAAAGCGTTAATAAATTGGCCCCATTTGAGAAATCATTTTTTTGTTAATAAATTCGTCCAAAAGGCAGTTTTGGTCCATTTCAGAAATTTTTGATACTGTTGCCTGGCAACCAAAATATTAGTTATCTATGCCTAACACCAAGGCATAACCAAAGAGTTGGAAGCGAGAGTAACCTAATAGCAGGGTGCGGACCGCGAACTCAAAAGGTCCTGGGTTCGAATCCACTGTTCGACTACTGTCGTGACTCGTGAGTCATTCCAACACAAACATTTTAAGCTGACCGAGAGTGGTTGAAGGGCATATCAGTGATGTTGATAACATTGCTAGTATTTCTTTTAAAAAATAAGAATATATAATCACTACGTTGGCATAACATCAGGGTCAGGTCATTGCCGTCGGATCGAAATTATGGACTTAGAATATACATCGAAATACAGGGTCGTCAACCCGCCAAAGAGTTCTTTATATTACAATATGATTGTAGAACTGAGACTGAGGTGATGCCCAGAAAACTTATAATAATAATAATTTCCGTGCTCGAAAATGACCGCGCCAGGCTCTACTGGGACCGGGCCATCATCACAGACAGGACTATTCTTGCGAATAAGCCTGATATTGTGCTGATGAACCGGGCACAGTCAAGGATATTTTTGATCGACATTACCATTCCGTATGACGAGAACCTCGTGAAAGCCGAAACAGATAAACGAACAAAATATCTGCACCTAGCTCACGAGGTGACCGACATGTGGGGTGATATGCCGACCGAAATTATTCCTGTAGTCGTCTCTGCGAATGGGCTAATCCCAGTCAGCCTCTCGGGTCATCTGAGGCGACTGGGACTCCGTGACGGACCGCTCCGGGCTCAAATGCAGAAGGCGGTGCTCCTCGATACCGCCCGCATCGTCCGCCGGTTTCTTTCCCTTTCCTCCTAACCCTCGGCCGTTTGGTCTCCCCTGACGAGGGCTTCCATCTGGTTGAATCTTATTTATTTATGTAATTTTTGTATTTATTTTATTTTATTGATATTTATGTATATTTATCTTTTCATTTTAATTTATAATTACATATTTATAGAATCCAACCAGGTGAGAAAATTATATAGATACCCCAATCAATAAACTCGGCCGTTTGGTCTCCCCTGCCGAGGGCCCCCATCTGGTTGGGATTTTATTTATATATGTATTTTAATATTTATTTTAGGTTATTGATATTTATGTATATTTATCTTTTCATTTTCATTTATAATTATATATTTATAGAACCCAACCAGATGAGAAAACTATATTGATACCCCACAATAATTTTATTTCAGATACAAGCTCCATAATTTGTTAGTAATAAATAATATAAACTTAAAATTAATGTTAATAAATATACAACTAAAAACAACAATGCTTATTTTATATTAAATATAACAGCTCTGGACCCCATATGCACAGTGTTCCAGTGCCGCACTACCGGACAATCAAAACTACCTAATACAGTACCTACATAGGAGTCCGTTGGCACTGTCTCGCACGCGTCGCATCAGGGAGGCCACTCTCTTCCGCATTATTGCATCAAAGCTGTCCGTGTTAGCCTCAACAAACATACCTGATGCGCTGCAATATCGAGACAGCTCCATTAGCATCCTAAAGCCATTATTATATTGATCACGTAGAGCATTTACGGATCTGCGAGTATACTTGACCTACAGGCTGCAGGTGTAAAATGTTTAGCAGTACGCCTTAAAAAGGGTTATCTTGACAGCTTTTGTACACCTTGCAAACCTGCGAGCCAGAATGTTGCACCTCACTGCTAACGCTCTACGTTCTCGTTCAATATCCAAGTCATCAGAGAGGTCATCTGTAACCCAGTGCCCCAGGTATTTAAATTTGGTGACTCTACTTAAAGGTACTCCTCCAAGCATGACCGGTGGGATATCCTTGGGTTCTTTATTCCCTGCCTTGAAAACAAGTAGTTCACTCTTTTTGGAGTTGTACCTGAGGCCATGGGCTTCCGCATATCTCTCACATAAATTTATTAATGTTTCAAGTGCTCTGATCGAAGGGCTCAGCAGCACCATGTCATCCGCGTAACTGATGCTGTTTACGAAGTTACCATCTATTGAGCATCCGACGCCAGTTCTGCTACGCTCATTGATCAATCCATTTATATATAGGTTAAAGAGCCTCGGTGAAGTTAAGCCCCCCTGTCTCACTCCACATTCCAACCTATATTCACTTGAGTATGAACATGCCCACCTTACATTATTTGATTGGTTGTGGTACCAATACCTTAATATATCGACTATCTCTCTAGGCGTACTCGTTTCGCTCCGAAGCTTATCCCATAATAGGTTATACGAGACCAGGTCAAATGCCTTCGACAAGTCCAAAAAACAGGCGTAGACAGGTGTTTTTCTCGTAACATAATACTGGACGGTATGCTTGAGTCGCAAGATTGCAGTTTCAGTGGACAGTTCAGTTATAAACCCAAACTGTGCCTCATGTACCTGTATATGTTTACTTATTCGACGATCAAGCAAACCATCCAATACTTTGGCTATCACAGTAGCTAGCGGGATCGGTCTATAATTGTTCTTGTCGGCAGCATCCCCGGTCTTATTCTTTAGAACTGGTACCACTATGGTCTTCATTAGTTCCTGAGGTAAGTATTCATGCCCTATACATGCATTATAGAGCATAGTCAACACCCTAGGCAGATGAACTCCCGCATACTGCAGGTGCTCAATACTGAGGTCATCATGTCCAGGTGATTTACCACGTGTCATATTATTTATGATATTTGCGACTTCTTTCGCAGTAAATCTGGCAGATTCACTGCATGATTTATCCTCAATATACACTGCTATTTAAGTAAATCCAGCATAATTGCAACATAAATAAATAGGTACCGAAATAATATAAATATTAGTATACAAGTATATAATATTAGTCCCCAGCTTTAGCAGTACAGTTCATTACTGTAGTTCAATCGAACAGAATGAGATGATGATGATGATCCGAATAGATCGCGAAATCTAGTGCGTAAGGCAGAGACCTTACTTTTTTTACTTAGTTACTACGGTTCAGTATTCGATTATTATAAGTACCTAGGTTTTTGAAATCTATATTTTAGTTTTATGTATATGTATACTTTAAATTAAGAACCTCTTCATTAGTACCTACAAGGTAGCTACTTGAGACAGTAGGCACAGGATTCAATCGAGTCCAGTCTACCTTGATTCAATATTTTTCAGGTTGCCATGGTGTTGCCATTGAGTAATGGGGCAAAAATTAGCAATAATCTTCGGCCTGGGGCAGCATCTCCATTGCGGTATATACCAAAACTTTCTAATGGTAGTGTATTATTCCTTTGTAGTCGCATGCTTCCTTAAGTATACGACAGCCAATTTACTCTTATCCACAAGACATAAAGAAATGTATTTACAACATAGACTTTTATTTGTAAGTATTCTGTTATTTTGCAAGTTTAGATCAAAGTGTATATTATAATCATTACGTTTGTCGGCGACAAGGCCCCATCTGCGCTCCTGGGTGCACATAGTTGTAGAAAAAACTAACCAATGACGAACTGTGTTTTGTTTAAAAGACTATAATTAGTGTAGTTAGCGTATATTAACTCGTATTTGGACATAATTTATAAGGGTTAGCTTTTAATAATTTATAAGGTAGTGTTTAAGCAAAATTTTGCATTGTAAATACTTATGAAAAATGTAAATTTTGTTTATCGCTTGGAAACTAGTGTCAAATTAAAGGTTTAAATGTAATACACTATAAACAAAAAGAACTAAGTATAGATCGAACATCTATATTAAAAAATATAAGATAAAATGTATAGAGATTTAGCAATTTTTTAGGTTTTTTGTTCTACAAATTTTTATGTCAAGAAATTAATAGCTTATATTTTTGTTTTATATTATAGAATAATATTTGAGAAATCTAACGATATATATATATATATATATATATATATATATATATATATATATATATATATATATATATATATATATATATATATATATATTTTGTAAGGATTATGTAAAAAATTATTATAAATAAAGGCTCCAAAGGTTTCGGCTTAAAGTAAAAATGACGTGCGAGGAGGGCAAAACCGCATAAGCGACCGTACGGTAACGCCGGCCGGTATAAAAAGGTCGAGCCGATTTCGGCTCAAGTGCATGATCATGCCACCGCTGCCAGGCCTTTGGTCATACATCCACGAATTGCTTCAGGCCAGTGAAGTGTGTTCGCTGCGCCGGGGACCATATCGTCTGTAACTGCCCAAGGGGTAGAGATGAAGAACCGCGATGTGCTAACTGCGCCAAAAACCATACAGCCAATGATCGCCGCTGCCCAGTCCTGAGGAGGATTGCAAGAAAGCAGGGGATCACTCTGCCGGGCCTACTCCCAGAAGAGCCCAAGAGGGTCCCCCAGAGTCGTCCCAGGACCGTGGTCCAGGAAGACGGGTGGACTACAATTAGAGGAAAGAGTAGGCAACTCGCCCCCCCTCCACCCGTCACAACACCAATGGAAACGGTGGTGCTGGTTATAACAACAACCAAGGCAACCACCGAGGCGACTCTCCAGTCCCCCCCCGCTAATGACGCAATCGAGCGTCACACCTCCCAGAAGAGCAAACGGGGGAGGAAGAAGAAGAAGAAGATGCAGCCCCCTCCTCAGGCAGCCACCTCTACCCCAACCCCAGCGGTAACGATAGCCCAGGCGCAGGTTATCAAGGAACAGAAAGCAGCCAGAATGGGTAGAGTGCCAGGAAGGGCTCTATCGGAAAATGGAGCCCGCTCTACGTATAGAGCGCGCTCTACCCATACACAAAGAAACGTAAAACAACACCCGAGACTAGTGCCAACGCCTTCTCAGGCGCAAAGAACACCATCAGCCGACTTCGAGATTGCTGACGCCATCCAACGCTTGGTTGGCATAGCAATCGAAGTCGGCAGTCAGGTCCTGGCCGATATTAGAGCCGGGACGGATCCTATTACAGCAGTGATGAAGGCGTTGGCAAACCTCCTAGCACGGCACTACGGAGGAGAGTAACCTGCGCCTCCTCTACTGGAACCCGGATGGGATACAGCAGAAGCTGCATGAACTCCGCACAGTCGCCCAACAACAAGACATTCAAGTCATCTTGCTGGGAGAGACAAAACTAAACCCGAACACGCACATAAAGCTGCCCAATTACTACATCTACAGGAGGGACGAGGTCACTTCTCAAGGGGCCGCCTATAGAGGGACGGCGGTTCTAGTGAGGAGGGACATCGTCCATCAAGAACTGGGTTTACCGGATTATCAAACAATGCGCTCTATCGGGATAAAAATGGAGGCGGTGGGCGAGGAACTAAGGATCTACGCAACATACCGCCCGCCAGAGACTCCATTCTGCTCCTCAGACGTCCGGACGGTAATGGAAGGCGAAACACCTACAATCATCGCCAGTGACCAAAACGCCAAACAGCCGGCGTGGGGATCTAGAGTGATCAACCCGCCGGGTCATACGCTATTTGAAGATGCTGAAATCACAGCTACGACGTCTTAGGTCCCGAAGAACCTATACACGTTCCGACAGACCCACGGAAACGTCCGGATGTATTGGACATCGTGCTCTCTAGCAACGTCAACTACCCGAAAGTGGTAGAGG